TGCTAATTGGGAGTAAAGGAGAGAAATTTATTTTCATCCAGAATGGAGTGGATTAGCTGTATCCAGGAGTGGATTAGCTGCATCATTATTCTCAAATGTACCAGCAGCCTGCATCGGAGATGGAAACACTGTGGAGGCTTGCAAGTTAACTCTGCAGAACCATAGCTGCTGAGTCCATTATAGGTATCAAGTCCATAAGTGTGCTGTGCTCTCATCTGGTTTCTTTTCTAAAATAGACCTGTGGAGGCTTGCAGGTTAACTCTGCAGAACCATAGCAGCTGAGTCCATTATAGGTATCAAGTTCATAAGTGTGCTGCGTTCTCATCTGGTTTCTTTTCTAAAATAGATTTCCCAATAAAAAGAAATATATATATGTAATGTTGGGGAGATGATGGAGGAAAGAAGGGGTGGATCAACAGAGTATGAAAAAATGAAAAATTCATCTTTACTGACAAAGCCTATAGTTTTAAAATATCTGGACCAAATTATTAGACTATAAAAATAGTAATAAATTCAAGGGTAGCCAGCTGATGACCTGGTCCCACAGCACAGAACAGAGTCCCCCAAGACTAAACCTGACCTCATTTCATACATAAAAGTCCATATAAGATGGTTAATAAGTAAAACTTTTTGAAGCAGTTTTACCTCCAGATGAAACAAATAGACATTCTTTAGCATTTGCAATTAAGTTCATATCTTCCCAAACTGTCAGAAGTGCATCTGGCAAAGGGTAATTTATAATAATAGTAATACAAACTAAGTTACCAAATTAAAGCAAGTATTGTGCAAGTTTGAATTATTTTTCAGCTGGATAAGACTATGCATATTTCATTTAATTTTAATATGTTAACAAAGACTTTTTATTGTCCTTTATTCTTCTTTTTTGTTGGCTCAGTTACTGGAGAACAAAAAAAAAACGTGAAGTGCCACTATCACCCATCGTATGTGTGCACGAAACCACAGAGCTGGCAACAACTGAATGACACATTTCAGAAAATATTCAGATTTAAGAGGCTAAAGTCTACCTTTTTTCAGATTGTATGTAAACCTGGTGGAAATGTCTATTGAAATATCACTTTAATAAAGCGGAGAAAGACAACATGGAAAAAGATATAAATGTGCTTGTTATTCACAGTCATTAAGACTATAATTCAGAGTTATCTTCCCCAGGACAATTACAACCATAAGTCTGATACAAAATATGAGGAAAGGTAAACAGTAACATGGATTCAAGTGTTTAAAGTTAATTGCTTAGTGCATGCAAATCAGTTATCTATACACATAAACCTTAGCAGTATATTTTTGCATATACATATTTTAGCATGCATCTCAGATTTTTTCTAGAAAAAAATCTTGTCTATGTAGAATTATACAACAGATTTATGTATAGACATGCATACACATACATTAGTTTAGTATTCTTGTGCAATTATATTTGGTATTGAGAGGATTCATGCGGTAGTTCTGTGAAATAAAAGGGATATTGTGCAAATAGGTCTGTAAATCTGTGAATGAAAACATGTAGCTGCAAAATAAGCAAATAAATCAGGGATTTATTTCTGAATTAAGGTTAAATGGGGAAATAATTCCATTATATGTGCGAGCACTGCAATACAGCACACAAAATTACCACTTATTTATCTTTAAACACAAGACTTTTTTCATCAGTCCTTTATTTCTAATAGGCTACAAATATGACTGTGAGGCACTTGTAAATTGGTGACATACTAGTTTAGCCTAGAATAATAGATACCATTACAAAATTTAAGCAGCACAACCTGACTATTCCTTTCTATTTGCAAGAACTTCTGAGAAAAAGTACAAACATATTCTTTTAGTTAGCCTTGTTGACCCATCATATCAACGTGTATATTCCTTTCTTTGTTCTCAGGTTCTCATTATAATAGCTGTAATAATCTTGGCCAAAGATTCCTGGAAATTAATGACTATCTGGGCTAATTAGCTGAAGTGATGCTGAAATGCTACCAGCTGCTTCCACCACTGTGCAGTTCTCTGGAAGTGGGTTGTAGGTTGATAATTATTGCTTACAATAACCCTTGTGGGCTTGTGCTACTTACTCACCGGTATATTTAGTATTCACACATAAATGCAAGATCTACTATCAGGATTGTTCTAAAAACTCACTTAAGAAGTCGTTAATATTGGTCATAGGTAATGAATAATTAAAAGTGAATAGTAGAAATATTTTTTCTAAATACAATAAAAATGTGTGTGCAAAAGAGGCTTTTCAACAAGGGCTGTGAAATTCCTCGATGTTAGTTTGTATTAGTCTGTATTATGTTCCTTCATTCTATTATGAGCTTAGTAGTAAGAGTCGACCAGCACTTTAATTATAGCCCTGATTAGTTTCCAAATAAATATTTAATTATTGAAATATATATAAACAGTATTAATTCTTTCTTCTGTTATTTAGGAAAAGATCAGAAAATATACTCCACTCATTGCCATCACTTAATTCCCATTGTAATGGTGGTTATTTTATGCTTTGCAAGGATGAACAATGAAGATGCTGCCTCTTATTTTAGCACTGATTTTTGGTTTTGGTCATAGTTTGTATTTTGGGGTGTCAGTATGTTGTCTTTTTTTGTCATTTGTCTTTTTAGTTGTAGGCATCCTGCTCAACTTGTTTATAGCATGAGAGCATGAGAGCTTCCTTCTATACTGTGTTCTTGTGTACAGGACTTCATCCTTTTCTGTAAGCTGAGCAGAGTGGAAGTGGAAGTGTGGTGTGGAGTGCAGGAAAACTATGTGAACTCGCTCACAGGTTGTGACAGAGGCAGGAACAGAATCTGCATAACCTGAACTTGCTTTAAGGCGTGATAATTCCCTTTCTAACTTCCTGTAAACTCCATGCCTCAAGAGGGATGTTTGAGAGCAAAACATGCAAAATATTTCTATTCTGTACCTGGGATCCCCCTGGGATCAGGGGTCCAGTCCCCTGCATGCATACACGTGCTTCAGCACATATATTCATTTTAAAGATGAGACTGTGCAGAGTCCACTCTTTTCAGGAAGAGGATGCTGCTCCATCTGAGCAACATGACTCAACTGGACCTCAGCACTTCTTAAGTGAATTTCCTCTGCTGTGGAAGGGATTTGGCCCTTACTGTTTAACCTCCAAATGGAACTTGGTTAGCATTAAATAATAAAATCTTCAATCCTGAAGTACCAACTTTTTGAATCTTGTAAAATGACTGGTTATTTTTAGCATGGGGCCTTTCTGCAGTGTTAGTGGATTTTATAGCCTTAGCATTTAACACAGTGCTGTAGTGGCACACATCAGTGTTGTCTCATGCAGTTGTATTTCTGCCAGTCTGTAGATCTATTGCCATTGTTTCCCATAGAAACAAAACATAGCAGTATAAATATGAGAGAAGTTGATTATGGGAATGACTCACATTAACTTACAACTTGAAAAAAGAAATTTTGGACAAAGCTTGAACTGTTGAGGTTCTCTCACAACAGTCTAATGCCAAACATGCAATTTCAGTGATGAGGAATGTGTAGAACTTCTTGCCCAGAAGGTGACTTCAAGTGTGTTTTACTTTATGTGATTATTTCAGACTTGATTCTAAGCTAAGCTAAACTAAACTAAAATGAAATTTCGGATTCTTCACCTCAGGAGGGAGTCAATTCGGAATTCGCTATAAAAAATAGCATAAAAGATTGTGTTCTCAGTATTTGGAATGTGTCTTACTTGTCTTTATTGATACTTTGGGGTTATTGATTAGACCAGAAATAGAAACGATTCAATCAAATGAAGAAGCTTTTTCCACTGCAAATCATATTATGTGGTGAAAGTCTGATTAAAGTATGTATTCAGCTGTGATAATAGTATAGGTACATTTTGAGGTGGGAAAAAACAAATCTAGTGAAAGAATTCTGAGCCAGAATTAAATTTTAATATAATTCCACAAATTCTGAAGTGTTTCTTCTGACCATTTTATTTCCTATGTCTTGTATGGATGGTAGAAATGACAGCTCTGAGAATAAGGAATGGTTGGCTTTCTCTTAATCAGATTAATTCAATGACCAAATTGTGAATTTTGCTACAGGCTTCCAGTCTCTGTCAGCATGAAAACACTGATATTAACTTCAGCTAATGTTAGGCATATATATTTTTACAACCATTCCTTCCAGAAGTTGTTTCTAAAACATGTTCCTGTTGAAGTGCATGTATATTAAGACCAACAAATATGTTTTCAAATAAGATCATGTGACTTCATAAACCCATTAAATTATATTAAGGGGAGGTAAGGAGAGGTCAAAGTCACTCCAGAGCAGACAGCTTTTATATTGGTCTTTATTCATGTGTTTTTGCAGCTCTTCGAGATGCTGGGAAACAGTCGATCAATAGTGACTGGAAGATAGAACATTCAGGAACATTCAATATTGCTGGGACCACTGTCCACTATGTTCGGAGAGGTCTTTGGGAGAAGATATCTGCCAAAGGTCCCACAACATCACCTTTACATTTATTGGTATGAAAATTTGTGGGGTTTCTTTTGTTTTGTTTACATTGGATTCAAGTCATAATGCATGGTGACATAATTTTTTTCCAGACTTCTTAAGGTAATGATATCTATTTAAGTTATACCTGCAGATCTGTGAGCACAGTCCTAAAAAAAACTATTTAAATCCAGTAATAATAATATCCATTATATTATTATAATAATATAATATCCAGTAATAATATTGGAATCCTATGATGATAATATCCAATAATTGGATAATAATAACTAATAATTAATACAATTATAAGAAGTTGTTGAGGTGGCATGGAAAGTCTCAATGTCTTTACGTTACTACAAGTGACATAAAAGGCTGATGTGCTGCTTGAGAAGAGAGAGAAAAAAATACCTATTAGATTTTTTTCTGTCTTGTTGGCTGACCATAGCACATAATCACCCTTCCGGATTGCGATCACCAAGTTACCTATAAAGAATCTAAGCTGTGATTTCAGTAGAGGGAGGGATTAATTGCCACAGATATTGATTGATTGATTGATAGCCAAATGGAGAAAGGGAGAGTGATGTGGTAGTACTTTGCAATTCAGAAACCTTCAAGTGTAAGAATTGGGCGATCCATCTGAAATAGATTGAAATACGATACATGTCAAAACAAGATCTGCTTTACGGAAGAACACTGAAATCATGAGGAAGATTGTCCTGTAGATTTCTGGTTATATTTGTTGGTTTCTTAAGACTTCTTTTACCTATAGATTAAGTGTCAACAGTTTTCCACATGGTCTGTAGACTGTCACTTCCATTAATTACTTCTACAAAAGCCATCACTACAAGACTGTTGTGTTCTTCCAGTTAGTTCTTCACAGGTCCAAGTTAGTCTTCCAGGAGTGGCTGTGCGGGTGAGCCCTCATTCTCTGTGTCTTGCAGGTGCTCCTTTTCCATGACCAGAGCTATGGCCTACACTATGAATACACAATCCCACTGGATCCCATTCCCGAGAATCAGAGCTCTAAAGTACTTGAACCTCTTTTCATGTGGACTCATTCTGGCTGGGAGGATTGTGATGCTGTATGTGGTGGAGGTAAATATATGCATAGGTGTGTTAAAACACATGTGGTATTTTGATATTTGAGACACTGGCTATCACACTGTAAGATTTTTAATAGTAATATAATTAATATAATACTTGCAGCTTGTAGACTATGGTAGTTGTAATATGGTGAAGCACATATTTCAATCATCTCCTACCTCCTGATTAGATTAGAAGAATAATGATAGCCACAAGAAAATATGCAAACTAAATAAGGTAAGTAGACAAAAATGATAGTGAAGGAATGAAATCTGAATTAACAAAGTGAATTAAGGACACAGTTTCCAAGAAGAAAGGGAAGTGCAAGAGCTAGAGCAGGAGTAGGCAATCCATTTTGTGTTCTGTTGTGTATTTGGACCTGTTGAGGATAAATGATTTGTAAAAGTCATTTCAAACTACAGAAAAGCTGAACTGCACTCAGATCAACTGTGTACATGAGTATTTACATGAGTTGAGAATGATCCAAAAACATGTAGAACAAATGTTGTGACAGCAGATACTAACATGATGATGCAATGCTTCTCCAGTGTTTGTGTTTATAAACCAGTAAAGTGTGCATTTGGAAAAAACAAACTACAGGCAGGTATGGGAGCATAAAAAATATTATTGTAACAAAATTGGTGTCCAGAAGATGGTTACTAAAAAAGGTTAATACAGGAGAAAAAAAAAATAGTGAGTTTTTAGTGAACACAACCCGTAGAGATCTGTTTATACCTTAAGTAATCAGAATTAAGCTGTGAATGCTATATTTATCTTTTCCCTGCTTACAACCTTTGCAGTCATAGCTTTTCTACTCAGCAGTCCTGAAAATTGTTATGAAACTTCTAACTGAATAGAAAAGCCTGGAAACAGTACCATTTCTCATAAGAGCAGTTTAAAGAACACAGTGTTCTAGCTACTTTGAATCTGTGTACAATTCTGGTGTCACACCAGATTACAGTAGTTTCCATAAACATGCCTTTTGTGGTTTGGTAGGAAAACTCCCTCGCTGAAGGTATTTTCTATGTGATGCAAGTAGCACCTTCTGCTGCTTAGTGGAGCACTCTTACTCAGTTGGAATATATGTGTTTTTTATAATTTCCTGAAATATTTTTGGTATAATTTTAATGCTACCACAATCTTTCATTGTTGTCTTAAGATGTTTCTGAATTTACCTATTATCTGGAAAAGCCCTTAAAATACAGTGGTAATTTATGGTGGTAGTGTTATGTTGGTAATTTATTCTACATTAATACTTCTGTAAACTTGTAGGTGTTGTATTGTAATGCTGATTGATCATAATTTTCTCATGTAACTGGCTTTCATTTTTATGTTATTGTTTAAAGTAGTTAATACAAAGTTCCATAGAAGGTATTCTAAACTGCCAAATATTCTGAAGTACAAGTTTAAGTTTATTTCCTACTTTAGACACAATCATTTGAACTGTTCTGTTCATTTATGTGTTTTACATGAAGCAATAACAAAATTAAAATGTTGAAGCTTGTTCCCTGTGTAAATGTTTGCATTTGAATTTTTAACATCAATATTTTGATGAATCAGATTAATGACTATAACAATTATCAGTATGTTTTCCTTAAATATATAAAATGTATGTCAGGGTGAAACTAGGGATAAAGCTGTGTGGTTTTGTTCATGTTTATAGACAAAACTCATCTGTGGCCTCCTTTTAGAAAAAGCTTTCTTTGTGTATGAGCATGAGGAGAACGTGAATACACACATGTATATGTAAATGCAGAAAAAGTTGTGAGGTATATCAAAGGCTATGTATGATAGATTAATTGCCTGTGCTTCCACTTACACAAATGCAGTGTAAAGTGTCAACTGTGGTCACACACATGATATGACTTTACTACTCCCTCCACGGGTACGTCTCTGACCACCAGTGGCACAGTATTTTTAACCGTCTCACTTCTGCATGCACCCTATTCATCAGGAAATTTCTATATAGAAGTAGATTGTTTTAACTTAGATGTAGGAATAAATGAATGCATTTTCTACTAAATTAAGTCTTTAATAAGGTCTTGATAACTTTCAAAAATTTAGGCATCAATCTTATTACAAGTTTCTAATTATACTAGCTCTTACACTCATTCTGATTTCCGGCCATTTTTGTCTTCAAGACATACCAACTTCCAAGCCATCTATCTAGGCAAGGGTATATTTAAAAGAACAGGTCTGAGCAAACAATATTTGAACTTCTTAAATTATTGCTCTGCTGATCAGGTCAACTGTGTGCCTTTTTTTTCTTTAGGTGATAGAGAAGAGGGCAGGCTCCTATTTATTTGCATGTAGCATTTGCATTTGCCTACAGGTTGCATGTGCTGATCCTCATTTGCTAAGTGTTGGCCATGCCTCACAATACATTGCTAAACCAGGCAGATATATTAAAATCTAGCAAAATTTTCTGTATTAATGGACAAACTTACTTTCTTCTTTCTGTGAAATCTTTCTGCAAGCTTTTCTCAAATGTTAGTGGTTTAGAGAGATACAATTAAGTCAGTTTTGGCCTGTGACTCATTAAAAAGCAGCAAAATTCTGTCAATGATGGTGTGCAAAGGATTGGATAAGAAGATTGTATTGTTTCCTACAGACTTTAAAGTCTTTTTTTTACCTTTCACTTTCAGTATTGAATATACTATTTCACTCTATTGAATTGTAGATAAAATAGCAGTAAGGTACTGTGCAAATGTATTTCCGTCTACCTGTTTTGCATCTTTTTCTTGGCAGTTAAGAAGTCAGTGGTTCATTTTCATCCAGCGAGATCCTTCCACCCTTAAACATTCCTGGCATCTTCTGTTTCCATAATTGAAATTCAGCAATATAGAAATGGCACATCCTGCTTGTTCAGAGCATGTATATGAAATCAGCACAAATTGTTTCTCTCAGAACCTTTGCTTCTCTAATCAATGGCTTTTAAACTTTTATAGAAGGAATGAACCTTGTATAATGTATATTTTTATAAAATTCTAAGTGCATAATTTAACATAATTTGTTTTGTACTTCTTCCAACCAAATTCTACATAAAACAGCTGTGTATGATAAAGTTACCTTTGGCCTTCCACAGGCATCTTTTCTTTTTCCCTTTTTTTTTTTCATATGTTAGAGGGACGATGGAGGAAAGAAGGGGTAGATCAACAAAGTATGAAAATATGCAAAAATCATCCTTTCTGACAAAGAGGACATTAAGGGACTGGAGCATCTATCTTATGAGGGAAGACTAAACGAGCTGGGCCTGTTTAGTCTGGAGAAAAGATGGCTGAGAGGAGACTTGATCAACATGTTCAAGTACCTGAGGGGTAAATGTAGGGAGGATGGGGCCAAACTCTTCTCTGTGGTGGCCAGTGACAGGATGAGGGGCAATAGGTGTAAGTTGAAACATAGGAAGTTTAATCACCCTATGAGGAAGAAGTTTTGACTGTGATGGTAACAGAGGCCAGGAACAGGCTGCCCAGAGAGGTTGTGGAGTCTCCTTCTCTGGAGATCTTCCAAACATGCCTGGATCTAAAATCCTGTGCCACATGTTCTAGGTGACCCTGCTGAAGCGGGGTGGGGTTGGACTAGATGATCTCTAGAGGTCCTTTGCAACCTCAACCATTCTGTGATTCTGTGAATTACATTTTGTGGTTGGCAGGACTGGTATGTCGTGCTACTTTACTACTAGATTTTTAAAATTATCTTTGATGGGTGACTGATTTAAAAAAAAAAAACTCTAATGCCTGGATGAGGACTGGTGCTTGTAAATTTGCACTATTATGGTATTACAAAAGTGCTTTTAAAGCTAGAAAAGTGAAACAGTTCTAGTAGGTAATGGCATTCAAACTGGACACACAACATTTTTTTCCATAGTCAGTGAACTCTAAGATCTGAATTCGGGAGTTTGTTCCTAGCTTGAAAAGACCACTTACATGTAGATTAATTCCACTTTGATGGGATTTAAGCAAGTGTTTAAAAATAAGCAAGCAGTTCAGTCTGGATCAGAACAGGAACATAGGTCAGCATGGCTATACATTTTTGATTCCAATAGTAAGCAACTCAGCTTCCAGCCAAATCTCCTACTCAGAGTCTCATATTCTACTTAATAGCTAGTAAAAACATACATATGAAATGTAGATCCCATATATGTTATTGAGTCATCCTTTACTACATTAATATATTAACACAGTAATAATACATTACAGGCTGTTGCATTTTTCAGTCTTCTCCTATACTCTACACTCTCCTAGGAGGAAGAATGGTGTCCTGTCTAGGTGCTAAAGGGCAATGCTTGTCTTCCTAAAGAGTCAGTATGGAGATGTGACGTTCTTCTTCAGTTGTGAAGAGACCACATTTCTTGGAGGTCCTCTTATCCACCCTTCTCCTAGGTTCTTTGCTGATTAGATTAGTTTTACAGTGCCAGAACATTAGAGAAAAATTAAAACACTACTGCATTGCTGCTGGTCACAAGCTAGAATTACTAGCCTTCTGGGTATCACCTGAGGCTTACATCAGTATGGGGACAAACTTTGATGAGGAATGCAAAAAGTAGGACATTTGTATTTAAAACTATTGTATTAAGGCTATTTTGAATAGACACAAAGCAAGTTTGACAACTTTGAAGGAGCTATAAGACAATATTTAGCACTGACATGAGACATTAGTGAAATTAAAGCTCATTCCATTAAGGAAACAACTCAGACATGTAATCTCACACAGCGAACTGTGCTCTTAACTGGTGGCCTGATAGCTCATGGCCTTGTGGAAAGAGAAATGGAAAAAAAAAAAGAAAGAAAAAGAGGATTTAGTGTGTTTATAGGGAGCTTTAAAACGTTAGAAACTAAGGGGATGTAATAACTCCATTAACATGGTCAAGGAAAGGCCATGTAAAAACCATGGCATCCCCACTACCGACACACAGCTGGACGTCACCCCCAAGATTAGGCGGCTGCAGCACCTCACAGAGCACCGGCAGTATGGCTACGGGCTGCAGAAAACAGAAGGTAGCTTCCATAATC